TGTTTGGTAAGCAAACCCATAAATTGTAACTCTCAAATTTCATTATGGCCAGTGTTTCCTACTCTTATTAAAAAAAATATTTTTAAACCTAGAATAATATTATTCTAATTTAGTTTTGATAATTCGTATTTCATTTTACATTTGTTAGTATTGTTAGGTATATATGATTGTATATAAGATCCTTACAAGGTCAAAATCAACGAATGTTAGTATCAAATTGTCATATGTTTGTGGTGAGTAGTCATTTTGCAACTGAAATTGAAATATGAAATGACAATTTTTTAAAGATTTTTGTAGCTGTGCATAATTCACACCTCTAATTTTGCTTATTTTTTAGAAAAATGTGTATTATACATGGGGAATTATGGTAGTTTCTATACTAAATTGGTTATAACATATCCATACCATATACCAGGTGTGTCAAACTAGCCCATGGCCGCATATGGCTTTTTACATGCATCTTGGTGGCCCTCACAAAGGTTTCTATAGCCGTTATCAAGAATTTTGTCTATGTTGGTAATGCAAATTATTAAAAAAAGTGAGATCTTTTTCAATTGGTATGATTAGATTGTTTATTCTATCTCAATGGTTTTTTGTTTTTGAATGTCAGCGACTATTTTTAACTACTGGTTAATCATGTGATCATCCTTGACAATTAAATAAGAACAAATGTAAAGTGAAAACGTTCGTAATTTTGTGATATTTTGACTTAAAAATGCTGAATTCTAATCCATCTTGTGAAATTATCTGAAGAAATGAGTTTCAAGAAAAGTGGGAATTACAGTTTTTGTACCACTGTTAATGGAACAATAAACTTGCAACTACTGCATTGCGACGCCAAAAGAATATAATGTGAAAAGACATTATGAAACAAACCATCGATCTTATGATATGCGTGTTTCAAAAGTGAAGGAATTCAAGGTTAAGTTTACACAGCAACAGAGGTGCTTTACAAAAATTCAGAAAGGCAACGTTAGTTCTGTTACTGCAATCTTTGAACTCTGCGATGTCTTGTAAAAACAGCTGAAATTGTATGTCCAGAGAAGTCACACTTATTTCAAGACATTTCATTAAGTAGGAACACTGTTGCTGAACAGATTGATTAGATGACAGGTGATTTGAGTCGACAGTTGAAGGGTTTATCATCAAGTTTTGAACATTTTTCTATTGCTCTGGATGAGACTGTTGACATAGCTGGAATAGCACAGCTCGCTGTTTTCATCAGGGCTTGTGACAATGAATTTCAAATTCATGAAGAACTAATTGAACTGATCCCCCTGCATGATACTACAAGCCAGGACATTTTTGAGAAAGTTGAACTGCTTCTCCATGAGTATGGCCTTGATTTGAGTAAACTTGTGTGGTTATCTACTGATGGTGCTGCCAATATGGTTGGGAGACATAATGGTGTTGCTGCCAAGTTAGGTACAAAAATAGAAAACATATCTCCAGATTCAACATTCAAGAATTTTCACTGTATAATTCATCAATAGAACTTATGTCCTAAAATTTTGAAATTAGATTATGTATTGGGTTTTGTCATAAAAACAGTGAAACATATCAGAGGTTGTGCTCTGCATCACTGTCAGTTTAGCCAGTCATTGGAAGAAGACGTGAATAATCAGTTCACAAATGTCCCATTCTACACAGAAGTTTGGTGGCTTTCATGTCACAAGGTACTGAAAAGATTTTTATTTTTTTTTACTGTGACACAAAATTGTTGTCTTTGGAAATGAAGGGTCAAAGCACAGATGCATTGAAAGATGAAAGCTGGCTCCAAGATCTATCTGTTTCAGTGGATATTACTGCCCAGTTAAGTGACCTTAATTTGAAATTACAAGGGAAAAATAAGCTCATCACTCAGTTATATGACATCAAGTGTTTCATTGCTTTATTAGCTTTATTGAAGTCCCAGTTGTCACATGAAAACTTGATTCATTTTCCTATCTGCAAGGAGCTGAAAAAACTGCCAATACTGAGTCTGTATTTATCTTGGCTAAGCACGACAATTACCTGGAATTGCTGTCAAAGGAATTTCAGCGAAGATTTTCTGATTTTTCATCTTGTGAAGATCAGTTTGCATTATTCTCAGCACCATTCACTTTTGATGTTGCTCATCCAGGGGAAAGTCTACAGATGGAACTACTTGAAATGCAGACAGGATAGCATATTGCCCAAAATACCGTTTTCATGGTGAGCTGGTACAAGGTAACCGAGCCGCTCATAAACCCAAAAGACGTCTCAAGGATATAGCTAAATGTAACCTAAAGACTCTTGGAATTAATGCTGCTAGAGATAGATCTGGCTGGAGGAGGTTGATTTGGGAATGCTGTAACAATGAGCAGAAAAGAATGGAGCAACCATTAAGAAAGGAGAAATAGAATCTGTCCCAGATGGAGGGCCACATCAGCCATATCTGCAGCCTTGAGGGCCACACCTGCTTACAGTCTTGCATTAATCACAGCTAGTGGTAACTAAACTTTAAATACAAAATACTTACACAATACAAGGTAGTACAATTTAATCATTTTTATGTTGTCCTGATGACCGACATCGCTTTAGTCAAACTATTCTGTAGCATTTGTGGAATAGTCACCCATTCGGCGACTGATTTAGCCGGCCACATGAGATCACGCAAGGTCAAGTGCAAACTCCTGTAAATGCACACCTTACAGGAAAGACCTGCAGGCTACGTATGCAAGTTTGGTGGTTTGTAAGTCTGTTGCGGGACTCAAACATCACATGATTGTACACAGAAACAGGCAAGTTTCTAAAATAGGTAAAACAGACAAACTATGTTTCCCCTGTGTGTAAAAGAGGTTGTAAAAGTGAAGCTAATTTTAAGCATCACTTACAAGCCCATACAAAAATGTCAGTGTGGATAAAAATGATGAAAATAATAAAATTCTGAATGACAAACACAAATAAAAGTGACCAAATGAAAACCACTCTGGTGGCTGGGGCTTCAAAATATGCTAAATGCACCTCTGCAGAGGGGTAAGCCCCACCCTCCCCCAAATGAGGCTTCCTGGGTAAGATGATAAAACTAAATCCAACTGCAAAGCCTCTGATCAGGAGGTTTTGAGGAGTGTAGGACCACCTTTTAATTGTTGGTGTTCCCAGGTCCACCCTGACCCAGGGTGGTAGCAACAGTTAGGGTGCTAGCTATTGGCAAATAGTTACCCCAAACTGATATGAAAGTGTAAAAATGGGTTTTAATACCAGCAATACATTTTTGTAAAAATTATTACCAGCAATTAATTTTTTTTTTTTAATTATTACCAGCAATAAAAATCTTGTCGGCATTAAATAACCCGTTGAGGTGTTGATATGCCGTAAAACAAACCAAACCAAATGAAGAGTTGTCAATTATCATGCAGCTCAAAAACGCAAGGGAGGTAATTCTAGTATAACATTGTCACCCTTAAGGAAAATGAAGTTTGGAATAGATATTTCTTGAAAATTTACAGCAAAAAAATTAAACATTATTTATTAGATTGTTTATTTAAAAGAATAATTTTATATTTACAAGGTTATAAAAATATGCAAACCAATTAATACAATGTTTATCATTTACCATCTTATAAAGAAATGAAAAGGAAAATTTTTTATTCATTAATTTATAAAAATATGTGAACAAACTATGAGGAAATCTTTACCATTTTAAAGTTCAAATCAATTGGAAATTAGCTGATGTTTTGCATACCATTCCAAAGAACACAATTCGTCAATTGTTTAAGGGTCTATTCTTCATTTAGGATTTTTTTGTCAGTCAGCACTTGGCTGAAAATAAATAATCTATTAGCAGATTTTCTTGGCATTTTTTAAAAAAATCAGCAACGATTTAAAAAAAAAAAAAAAAAAAAAAAAAAAAAAAAAAAAAAAAAAAAAATAAAATAAAAAAATAAATAAATAAAATTAAATAAAATGAGTATGGAGGAGGGTAATGTATAATTGCTGGAGTTTCCCAACTTTGATTTCTAAAGATTAGTCAGCCTTCATCTTGATTATAAAAAAAAAAACATTCATATTTATTTATAAAACGGTCAATAATAAATATTGCATTGTAGTTGGTTCACATATTTCGATATTTTTGTAGATTTTTTTTTTTTTTTTAATCAAAAGATTTCTTTTCAAATTTATTTCTTTATAAAATTTGTTCAAACAGAAAAACATTTGATTAATCCCAAAGTGGGCATTACCCACCCACCCTACAAAGTGGACATTCAAATGAAAGCAGAATTCACACTTTATGTCTGTTTTATTACAGCAAAAAGTTAGGGCACCTCGAGGTGGTGTAATGGTTGGCAAGCTCATCTGGCTAGAACAATTACAATTGAGTAGTGAGTTCAATCCTCACTGGTTGTCCCTTACTTTCAGCCTTGTGCCATATCCGAGCTAGGCTTGGAAAAAAATCACTATTACAGCAAAAAGTTAGAAACATACATAAATAGACACAAGTTTATGCCCTTCACTTAAATGAAATAAAACCTTTTTATTTAAAAGAGATGACTGACAATAACTAGCATGTTTTAAAATACAAACATCTAAACGTCTATTGGAAAAAAAAAATTTTAAACTTTCGGCTGTATTGGTAAAAGAAAAAAAAGTAATATAGATTTATTAAAAAAAAACAAAAAAAAACAAAAACAAAAAAACAAAAAAAACAGATACCATTTCCTTCTTTAGTTCTTAATTTGTAGAGAAAAACACGATATTTGTATATACAAAAGTAAAAGACCTGCTTGCAGTTGTTTACAAAGCAACAAGAAACAGTTTTTTTTAATTAAAAAAAAAAAAAAAAAAAAAAGCATCAGCTACGTATAAATTATCTTTGTTCCAGTGTTGAGCACACTTCCTCTTCACATCAGTTCCCCCCCCCACACACACACACACTTCTGAAAGCTGAATGTACTTTTTATAAAAGCTTAAGGAATAAAAACGCGGTACATCGTGACAGAATTTGAAGTAGAGTGCGATATTTATCGAGAAGTGTTCTGCTAAACAGTCGAGGCGGCACCTGGAAGGGTTTGGTTAGCCTGTGGGAGAAAAGTCCACATACAAACAAGTTGCTCTGCAGAAAAACTGCAGAGTAATCGAAGAACATCAATAATATAATCCTGGGAGTGCAGCTGAAAAAGAAAAAAAAAAGAAATATATGAAAGAAAGTAAAATGAACAGGTAAAAAAAAAAAAAAAAAAAAAAAAAAACAATAATATCTTAGCTGATAGTCTAAAAGTCACACCAAAAGTAGCTAAAATTGACCGATTTCTGTTTAACAGCATATCAACACCTTATAGGTCATTTAATACCAAAATTTAATTTTCTTGCAAGGTTTGAAATAATAAAAATATGATATGTTATTCTGCCTTCACAAGTGAATACATGGTAGATAATACTCTGCTTTTGTGCATATACATATTTGTGTGGACATAATTACTAGAGGTAGTGATGTGCGGGTTTTATGTTGTAGTTTTGTTGAAGTTAGATTTTAGAATACACTTTGATTTAAGAAATTGTATGATACTATATGGATTGATGTCATAAAAGTTGTTTCATGAGGTGGTTTGAGGCTCCTCAACACCTCAAATCTCCCAATTAGAGGCCTTGCTGCCAGATGTAATTTATCGTCATACCCAGAATGAAAGTAGCTAAATATGAAGATGAAAAAAAATTAGGGTAATTCCAGATCAAATCATCATGTCACCCTTACTGCACAGATTTTCTTAAAATTTTAAACCAGTGGTTAAAAACAAGACAATTCTGAAAATTTGAGTCTCTAAGTTCAAACAGTTCAGAAAATGTGCCATCTTTAAGATTTAGTGTGAAACACAAAAAAAAAAAAAAATGCAGCATTATGAAACCCTCCCCCTTTTTTTCCCCCCAATAAAATTCCATCCAGACACAGAGCCATGAAAATTTGTATAGGAAAGTTTTTGAGGGCGAGGAATCCAAAAATGACATCAAAAACACCTAAAAATCAAAAAATCAATTGAGATATACAACAATTTGAGCAAATTTTGGTATATGGGAAATATCTCAAGAAAAAAAATAAAATGATATGGCACTATAGGTGAATAAAAATTTATTTTTTTTTAAAGTGTTCACCATAATATAATAACGAATGAAATCAAAAATGAAGTCTTTTTCTCTCATTATTGTCCCATAATTAAGAATCGAAAAAGGTCATTTTTTTACGGTCATTGGTATATAAACCTTATACTTACAGAATACTCTCCAAGGAAAAGTACAATAACGATAGATTTTTCAGTAAGATGAATGAGTATCTAAAGTGACACTATTTTCATGCCTTAGTCTTTTTTAAGGCTTTTATTAGGTCAAATGGTCATAAAATACTAAACAGTACAACAGTAAAGAAACAAAAACACTTTCACGAGAAATAGTCACACCAAGAAAAATAATCCACCAACCAAAACACTTGATCGCATGATTTTTATCTGAGAATAAAGTTTATTAAATGCAGCTACAATTTTTTTTATAATCTGCATCACTGTATGCTCTTCCAGTACTTGTTGTGGGTGGGCTGATGGCATGAACGATGTTCTTCACCGGAACGCAACATGAATCACCACCCTCCACCATTTGAAGGTTTTTCCATGGTTCATGGGGATGCATAAAGTCAACTCTTACATCACCCTCTACCTTATTAACATGAGTAACCATACCAACCCACCAAAAAGAATTATATACACAGGTAACATGTGGACAGCCCTGTATCAACGATATCAACCGAAGCGGAAATGTTGAAGTCATGGATATCAAACAGATCCTCCAATTCGTGAAGATGACAGTGGAATGAAATGATGACTGCTTCTTGTTTCTAGTACAGTGTCACCATCTTGATATTGCTTTTCCACCTTCTTCCTCACTTTATGTATATCCTCCATATTGATACCATAAAACCTGACTAATGTCATTTCCTCTGGACATAATTCAAGCAAAGCCTTGTAACTGAGAATTTGATTGCTTAATGGTCTCTGCAAACTTTGTTTGGCTGTGACATTTTACTGCACCACCTATACCACCACAAGGAAATTTACCAGGTCTTTTCGAGGCTCTAGAATGTCTGGATAGAATTTTATTGAAGATTAATGATTTTGTAATGACACATTTCCTGAATTGCTTGGACTTTGAGTCTCAAATTTTCAGGAACGTCTTGTTTTAATGATACTTACCACTGGTTAAAATCTTAAGAAAATCCTTTGAGGTGATAGTGATATGTTCCGGATGATTTGATATGGATTTAAAAAGGTAATTATTTGTTAAGTAGTGGATGGTGGAAATTTTCAGGATTGTCTTGTTTTAATGATACCTACCGCAAGCATCAGAAAAGTAGATCATTTTTTTGACATGCAGGTTTGTCTCTTAAATAATCAACCAGTATTGCCTGAATCTGGTATATAAAGCTAGTGTCATGAGTATTATCATCTGAGATGAAACAAAAGGAGTCGTACTGCAGGTTTCCATTTGCATCCTTGTGGATGTAATATACCGTACTCTTTACTCTAATGATAGCTTTGGATTTCATCCTGTAACAAGAACTGGTAATTCTCTGCAAAATCTCCTAACACAAACACCTGATTTTCTTCCAGTGACTCATTCAACTTTAGGTATTTTGCTTGGCACATGGCTAAATAAGAATGTTGTGTGAAATTGTTTATGGTTTCAATCAGGGGTTGGTTATACTCTTCATATATGGTTGTCAGTGTTGTAAATGAGGCACGATCAGTCGTGTCCCATTGACAGTAGTGAAACTCTTCATTCATGCAAAGATTACTGTGCTTATCATTAAGAAATTTCTTTAAACCAACAGTTCCAGGACAGGACTCACAACAGTGCATCATGCATTTTTTGCTGTCAGTGTAACAAACAACTTTGTTGATAAGGTCTTTGTATGTAATGTCCCAGCCAACAGCATCAACTAGAAGTACTGCATTCTGATGAGTGTTGCATACACAGACTGAGAGAGAGTGCCTGATGATCCAGCAAGGACACACCATTTTGGCCGCAGAGTGCAAAACTTAGAGAAGCAAAGTTTAATATCAAGATGTTTTTTCTTAAATGAACTGTACATTTCTTGGAGATTACAGAGAACCAATTATTTCTGTTTCTGCATATTTTTTACTGATATTGACAGTCCTTCTTACTAGACATCTGGCAACTGAAGTCATCATCTTTATTAAATTTTTTTCCTCCTTTGAGGACAGGCTTAGTGTTATACCTGACATACCTATTCTATTATTAGCCTCTCTCACGCATAAGTAGTAGTAGTAGAAGCGGTCGCCAGTTGGGCTCAGTGGTGTTGAGCGAGTCAGTCAATATTGGACATAGAAGTATCAACCATCACAACTAGATTGCTGCGTCATTAACTCTTATTGCAAGTTCCTGACGTTTTGTACGTCAGACTTTTTTAGGACAGACTTAGTGAAAATACAAGCCTCCACTGTGAAAACTACTCTACAACACTTAGTCAATATGCCACATCCTTTTTTTTAAATCCCAAGCAATTCATGCCAGATGCTCAGAAACATGAAATTACTCAGAACAGTACTTACATGACCATTTGTCAGGTACCAATGTGAGAATTTGTATCTTTTCCAAGGTATTATGCAGTTTTCAGTTTTTCTCATGGCATCTTGTGGTCTCTCCAACTCTCATTTTTCCCCCGAGAATGCATGATGAGTAAACCTGTTGTGAAGTATGCCAAGGTTTGACACCATTGCTCAGTTTCTTAATTAAAGGTCCCCCCCCAACACAAATCAATGGCAAATTATAGATCCCCCCACCATATTTACAAGTGATGCAGATTATAAAAAAAAACTGTAGCTGCATTTGCTAAACTTCATTCCTAGATAAAAATCACATGATCAAGTGTTTTGGTTGGTGGATTATATTTCTAGATGTGAATATTTCTCGCAAGATTATTTTTGTTGTACTGTTTAGTATTTTATGATCATGTGACCGAATAAAACCTTTAAAAAGACTAAGGTATGAAAATAGTGTCACTTTAGTTACTCATCTATCTTGTCTTACTGATAAATCAATTGTTATCAGACTTTCATGGAGTGTATTCTGGAGATTAAGCATAAGGTCTACATATAAATGGCTGGAAAAAGGCTCAAATAGTCAGGATTGTCTTGTTTTAATGATACCTACCACTGTTTAAAATTTTAAGAAAATTCGTGAGGTAAGAGTGACATGATCTGGATGATTTAATAATGAAATTACTCTAATTTTTGCTTAGTATTTACTTTCATCTTAATTTTAGCTAATAATCATTAATAATAATGATTGACAATGGTTCATCAAATAACAAGTGGGGACAAACCACATGACACAGTCATACAGTAAATTCCCCCCCACCTCTCTCTATATAATATATATATATATATATGTATGTTTGGGGTGCAGCTAAAGTTTTGTTGTTTACCAACTCATGAGGCACAAGAAATAACTAATGATTTTTAAGGAAAAAAAATAATATACTGGGTCCCATGGGATGAACGCTAAATTACACGCAGATTCACAGCTCAAATTTAAAATAAGTCAAATATAATATTGGAGAAACAGAATACAGAAAATAGAAGACCCCCCACCAAAAAAAAAAAAAAATTTTTTAAATCAAAACGAGTTTCAAGTTTAAAAGAGGAACGCTGGTTGATGCTTTAAATAATAATATACATGGAAACAGATAAAGGGAGGTAATCAATAGAAACCTAAAAGATGAGAGCGAAATTTGAATTAAAAAGTAAAGAAAATCCTTAAAAATCAATTTTGGTTATAATTTATTTTATGAATATATTTAAATATTTATCCCTTCAGACTGAAGGTTGTTTTTTGAGATTTCTAAAAATCTTTCAGTCTGAAGAAATGGATATTTAAATTTTCTTTTACTTCTTATTATTAATGCAGAGTGTCCATAAAGTTCGTATGCACTTTAAAAAATTTATAACTTTATTTGCATTTGCAATAGAAATAATTTGTAAAAAGGATGAGAAAGAAGTAAATCTATATTTTTTAAGGTTTTATTGAAATTTTATTTAAGTTTCCACATGTCCTCTATCATTAGCAATATAAAGGGTAATACGATTTTGCAGTTCAGGGAAAAACATTTGCCAACTGATTTACAGTAATGCCTGAAATCACATTAGTTATTTTAGCTATACTTAAAACTAGGTACATTAAACTTTATAACATATTTCACAGATTATTTCTATCGCAAATACAAATAATGTTTTAAATTTTTTAAGTACACACGAACTTTATGGACACCCTGTGTGTGTATATACAGGGTGTCCATAAAGTTCATGTGCACTTTAAAGTTATAAATTTTTTAAGTGCACATGAACTTTATGGACACACTGTATATTAGCTCTGTTACTTACGTTGAGATATCTTTGGATTAATATCCTCCTTGGGATTATCCATACCAATTAGTCATATATATATATATATATATATATATATATATATATATATATATATATATATGGAGCCCCATTGTTCGTCTTAAGACACAATTCAAAGACAAATATGTAATGTGATTGGTTCTGGCATCTCGTCAAGTCATTTTCTCACAGACATGATGAGGATTCCCTGTCAAATATTTTCACGGTAACTGCTCCAACAAGCTACTCTTGCTGGTTCCTAAACTGCATGAATTTAAGCGTGCTACAAGGTTGGCATCTCAGTCCCACCCTTTCACTGTCGAAACTGTTAAATTTAGCTGTCTCTTCTACTCCAATAGCTTCATGTCTTGCACTTCCCGTGTGTGGAACTCCTTTCCTCTTACTTGTTTCCCTGATAACTATAATCTTCAATTATTCAAATGCAATGTCAATCAACATCTTTTGTTGCTTTTGATCTATTCCCTGTCCTTCTCTTCATCCTTTCCCCTTTCATGCCTCTTTACTCTTGCTCCCACTTTTTGTAACCCCTTACGTGCTAGGGGCACTCCCACTTCGACTGGGGTGAAATGTTTAGAAGAAAAAAAAAAAAAAAATTTATTACTAAGGACTACAAATGATAAGAAGATGTGGAGAGCCATGATTGTCCTGAAGGGACACAGAAAAATAGGAGGAGGAGGAATCCATAGACTTATTGATATCCCTTGTCACAACCTACCAACAATTACATCCATAAAATCAGTTTTTCAGCTTACCTTAAATACTCCATCAGAAGACACAGAGGCAATGGTAGTCATAATTTTAGACAGCTTCAGCATCTGATGAGAAAAATTTTAAAAGATCTAATTCATTTTTGGGCACATCAACACCTACATGAGTAATATTATAATAATGATTTCCCTACACACTGATGGCTACTTGTTTTTTTTTTTGTTTTTTTTTTAACATTCTTCAAAGAATAAGAACCAAAATTTAAAAAAAAATTAAATTTTTTTACAGGTTATTTAAAGCCAAGAAAATATTTTTAGATTGTAAGAATGATTTACTTATGCAAGTCTTACTAATTAACCCATAGTTGGATGTGTATTCATACCTTTTCCCCCAAGGGTATTTATGTGCAAGTGAATACAATAAACCTAACAGGACTGGAACTCAGTTCTCGGATTAACAACTCAAAGCCATTATCCATTACACCATCCAAGCTTACAGCACCTGGTAATCCCAAGTGGTTACCCATCTAGCTTCTGACCCGATTCAACGTTGCTTAACTAAGGTTGGAGCCATTATCCATTACACCAACCACACATCCAAGCTTACAGCACCAGGTAATCCCAAATGGTCACTCATCTAGGTACTGACCAGGCTTGATGTTGCTTAACTTTGGTGATCATACTTGAACCGGTGTTTCAACATGCTATGTCCATCAGCAAGATTACAGCACCCAGTATTTCAAAGCAGTCACCCATCTAGATACTGAGAATTCTTGACATTGCTTTATTTTTTTTTTTTTTTAACTTTGGAACCATTGCTACAATGCAATGTGGCTGTAAGCCAGATGCTAAAGAGGCAAAATTCACTTGGAGTAACACTAGAAAGGAAATTGTGTAAAGACATGATTGCCCAGATCCTGAAAGGGCACAACATATAAAGGATTTTTGATTGATTTTTTTTTAGTGGCATATCAACCTCTCTGGGTTATTTAATACCATAATCTAAATATTTTGAATACAATTTAATGACTCCAACTAAATATATTTTGAACGCAATTGTATGCTTTCAACTACAGATAAAATGTATTGTTGGTCATTTTACTACAAAATGTATTGTTAGTAATTCTATTATATCTAGTATAAAATGCACTGCTGGTCATTTTGCTTGAATAATGTACCTTCATAGTATTTTGTTTTTGTCATGCTGGAACCCTAACAATTGATACCACCCTGGGTGGGAACAGCGACAAGAGTTGGTTCCATGCTCCTCAAAACCTCCAAATAGAAGCCTTGCTGCCGGATGTAGTTTATCGCCATCCACAGAACTAACACACAAAGGAAATATTATCACATAAATGTCTATCAATAACAAAGGTCATATGCACAACTGAAATACAAAGTGCGACTTGCAGAAACACCAAAGATGTAACAAATTATCAATACAAATAAATCCAATCTACAAAAATTCAAACTTACCGATTCCAACAATGTCTTCTATTCAATGCACAATCCAAGGAAAATAACCAAGCATTCCTAAATTATCTCCCTTTAATTACACATTGCCAGGAGGCACAGTGGGGTAATGGATAGCGGCTCGGATTGAGGAATGAGAGAGCACAGTTCAAATTCCAATCGAATCCATTACATTCACTTGGGAAAAAGGTATGAATCCTCTTCTTTTCCCCCCAGCAATAGGTAAATAGCAGAACAGACCGGGTTCTATAGCCTTGGATGGCAACTGGGCTACCACATAAAGAAATGGCAACCTACTGCAGGAAAACATCTGCCTCGTCAGTCATGTATCGAAGATAGATGATCACCTAAGCGTGTATCACGCATGGCACATAAATGACTGAATTACACATTAATTTGAGAGTGACAATTAGATACATGGCTCGGGAGCCACTCACGGTAGAAGGTTACAGAGTAAGAGGTACATTTTAGGCAGATCTGTGAGGAAGATAACGTTTAACCATACTTGAACTGGTTAAGATTGTAGTGATCAGAGAAGCATCCTCTTGGATGCTTGTTCCATCAGGCAACAGTTCGTGGGGAGAAGACACTAAACTTAAATAACAAAAGAGGGCTTGGAGAATTTAACACTCACAGGAATTTTTTTTTTCTGGCTGATCAACTCATTGAGTCATTTAAAGACAAAAACATACTTTGGATTATAATTTTTTTTTTTTTTACAATATTGGATTAACAATTTTTTGGGAGATAATTCTCAAGTTAACATTCTCAGCTAATGTAAAGCAGAATGATTACATTGAATTCATCTCTAGATCTGCTGCTAAGAAAGCTGGTTTACTGTCGTGTTAGACAATTTTTCTACCTAGGATCTTATCTTAAATATCTATAAATCTACCATTTGTCCATGCTTAGAATATTGTTGCCACATATAGTCCAATGGGCCTATTTATTTAGAGATTATTCCATTTGAATCCATTCACTTACGTGCTAATACCCTTGGGAAAGGTATGAATTCCCTTCTTCTCTCTCCCCGCCCCAGCTATGAGTAGATTAAATAGCAGGACAGACTGGGTTCTATAGCCTTGGATGGCAAATGGTCTACCACAAAAAGAAATGACAGCCTACTGCAGGAAAAAAAAAATCTGCCTCGCCAGTCATGTATCATAAAGATACATGATTGCCTAAGAATGTATCACACATGGCACATAACTGGCTGACTGATAAAATCCTTAGAAGAATCAGCAATATTATTTGTCCTAATCTGGCTGCTCAGTTTCAGTCAGTTTTTCATTGCCATAAAATTGCATCACTGTGAGTTTTCTATAAATACTTTCATGGTAATCGTTCAGTAATGAGCTCTTCATTATGGTACCTAGACTTTATGAATTTAAAGGCTGTATTAGACTGGTGGCAAGATCTCATCAATTTACAGGTGAGTTAATGAGATGTAACCACAAGTTTTATGCTAACAGTTACTTTTCTCACACTTTTCGCTTATGGAAACTTTTCTGACTCCATACTTTCTGGCTAACTCTGATCTTCAAAGATTTAAATTTCTACTGTCTTCTTCATTACTCTTCTATTGTTCTCACTTCTTCATAATGCTTGTTTTCTAATTCTTTCAAACCCAGTTACCCCCATGTGTCTGAGTGGCTTTACTGCCTTGCTTGGGGTAAATTCAATAATATATATATATATATATATATATATATATATATATATAATATATATATATATATATATAAATGAATAAATAAAAAAAACGAAGACACAAATTTGGAAGCTTTTAAGTAAATTTCAAAGATTATATTTATATATAGATTTATTTAATTACATGTGTACCATTTTGTTTCATTTGATAGTGCCATTTTGGAGACAACTTCATAAAAATTTCTTAAAAAAAAAAAAAAAAAAAAAAAAAACACATTTCACCCCAAAGCAAGGACAAATGGTAGACTTATGAATATGTATGATAGATTCTGTCGAGAAAAATTGTCTGGTGCAAGACTGTGAACCAACTTTCTTAGCAGTAGACATAGCAATTGATTCAATGCTTCATCTTCATTGCCATATTCAAAACATTTTGGGCATTGTACACTCCGGCCTTCTTCAGATGATAAGAATTTCAAACCGAACCCTTTATTTTGTCCACTGGGGTAGATTTTTCTAGTTCCACATTCCATGCCTCCTCCAGATGTTTCAGTTATTTCCCTTTAACTCAATTCTCCAAATTTTGGTTCACCACTGCTGTAGCCTGGTACTGAACTCACAACTATTTGGGTCTAGTCACTGGATCTGAACAAAGTCTTTATCCAATGGGCCATGTGTCCAATCACCTGAAGAAGGCCAGAGCACACAACTGCCGAAACGTTGTGAAGATGTTAACGAAGATGAGGATAACAATCCGAATAATGTAAATAATGCAAGTAATCATAATACCTCATCTCAGAGATATAGACAGATACTTCCCAAGGGTATTATCATGTAAATGAATACAATGGACTTGGCTGGAATTCAAACTACTTTCCAATTCCTCAATCTCAGACGCTGACCATTACTCTGCCGTGCCTCAAAGGGAAAATTTTTTTTTTCTTAAGCTAATATTACAGTATACTCCCCACTGGCAATTTTCATTGTTTTAAAAAAGCTATTTTCAGAATTTTAATAAAGCCCAAGCATGTAAAACTGGATCTAAGCGTTCTCTTTTCGCTCGAGAATTGAAATCCACAGTAAATATTGAAAGTTTCTATTTGAGTTTAAGCCCCGCCCACTTGCACAATGTAATCAGAATATTTTTTAAGTCTGATAGGAAAAAAAGAAAAAGATACTTTTTCTTGTGTGAATTCCAGCACTGCATAACCTAGGGATTGAACTCACAGCTACATGGAAACACCATAATTTTATCCACAGAAATATATACGTACCCCAAGTTTTAACTTAAATGCATTATAAATAAATGCTTCAATTTCCTTCATGAATGCATTCAGCTGACTGATGGTGAACATGTCATCTTTTGGGTCAGGGTGGATTCTATCAGTGGCAAGGAAAAGAAGAAGAAAAGAAAAGAAAAAAAAAGAAGAAAAGAAAAAAAAAAGAAAAAATGTTACGATGCCAGGAGGAACTTGCAGGTTGATTGGTGGCCAATTTTAAAAAAAAACATATATATACTCGAACATTTGGATTATTATTTCACATTTGGAATTATCTTATATGTGTTATTAAATTTCAACATGCCATTGATAAGTTACAATTAGAGATGTCAATTTCTGCTAAGCTTTTTTAAGAGTTCACTTAAAGATTATGTGTCAGCTTTAAACTTAAAAACAAAAACAAAAAAACAAAAACAAAAAAAAAAACAAAAACAAAAAAACAAAACAAAAACAAAAAAACAAAACAAAAACAAAAAAACAAAACAAAAACAAAAAAACAAAACAAAAACAAAAAAACAAAACAAAAACAAAAAAACAAAACAAAAACAAAAAAACAAAACAAAACCAAAAAAAAATAAAATAAAAAACAACAAAAAAAAAAAAAAAAAAAAAAAAAAAAACACAAAGTTGTGTCTAGAACACAAATACAGAAACATTAATGAGTGTTGCTAAACAATGCAAATGTACCAAGTTTACAGCACCTGGGATACCCAAGCAGTCACCCTTGTAGGTACTGACTAGGCTCAACAATGTTTACCTTCAGTGATAATCCGGGAACTGGTGTTCAATGTGATGTGGATACAAGTCATTATGGGGTAATGGCTGTAACGCTTATTAATAAGTGTTGCCAATAATAAAAGAAAAACAATGCAAATAGAAACATTTATTACATAACAGATGAAGCACAAGGTTTCCTAATTCTTAGACAACCTGACTATTACATTCAAAGAAAACAAGTACAATAATATCTAAAACGACATTACCATAACAAAAAAAATATTAATTTTTCATTTACTTACAGGTCCCATAATTTTTTCAGATCATTAGACTTAATGGCAATTTCTATTTGATTAATTCCTTCTTCTGTGACTTGGAATCCCAAACTTATTGCACGACTTTCATCTGTTCAAAAAAAAAAAATAAAATAAAATAAAATCAAACTTCTATTGCAACACAAATTTCCAGAATGCGTGAACAATCATCTTCAATTGATAATGTGTTCCATACCAAAAAGACTTTTCCAACAAGCATGGTCTTACATGCCAACAATAAGATGTAATTTCAAAAGGGTGGCTTTCCTGACATCACTAATTTTTTTTTTTTTTTTTTTTTTTTAACTACCTTCAGTCTTCAGCAATGTTTGTTTTAAAAAAAGTCATGATTAGAATTGGAATAAAACCTAAAAATATGAAAGTGAATTTATACATTTTCTTTGTTCTTCAAAAATGACAAAAAAATTAATAAACACTATTTGTTTATTAGATTGTTTATTTACATGATTTATTGTATTATTTATTGGAATGGTTTGCATAACGTCAGTTAATTGCTAATTGATACAAACTTTATAAAATGATAAATAACAAGGATTTCCTAACTTGGACCTTAGTGCCTAAATAGAGTGTCAAAAAGACGTTTTTTTTTACCCATGACCACTTTTTTAACTAACTTTACTCTTTCACAATGTTTATTGGTTTAAAATGTGATGATTAGAATTAGAATAAAACCTAAAAATATGAAATATATACATTTTCTTTGTTCTTCAGAAATGCAAAAAAAAAAAAAAAAAAAATTTATCAGATTGTTTATTTGCACTATTTATTATTTACTGAAATGGTTGGCAAAACATTGGGTAATTGCTAATTCCAATTTTATAAAATGCTAAATAATAAAGATTTCCTAACTTGGAGCTTCATGCCTACAAAGAAACGGAATGTCAAGAGAATGATTTTTTTGCATGACACCACTTTTATTTTAACTACCCTCACTCTTTGACAATGTTTATTGGTTTAAAAAGCAATGATTAGAATTAGAATAAAACCTAAACATATGAAAGTGAATTTATACATTTTCTTTGTTCTTGAGAATTGACAACAAAAATAATAGATACTATTAAATTATTAACACTATTATATCATGTATTGGTGGCAAAACGTCGGCTAATTCCCAATTATTTTAAACTTTATCAAATGATAAATAAAGATTTCCTTGTAGTTGCTTCATATATTTTAATAATTTAGTGAATATTTATAAATTTATGAATAAAAATTGTCTTCATATTTATTTCTTTATAAAATGGTAAATGATAAATATTGCAATTTAGAATGTCATAAATATAAAATTAATTCTTGTAAATAAACAATCTAAGAGTGTTAAATACTTTTGTTGTAAATTCTCTAAAAAGAAAAAAAAAAAAGAAAATAATAATAATAATAATAATAATATTCACTTTCATCACACATTTAGGTTTTATTCCAATTCTAATCATCCCTTTTTAAAACAAAGATTGCCAAAGAGTAAAGGTCGTTAAAAAAAAAAAAACGGTGTCATGGGAAAAACCGTTCTTCTGACATGTCTGTTTGCCAATTTTAAAAAAAAAAAAAAAAAAAAAAAAAAATGCAGCATAGGAACAGTGACTTCTACAAGAGTTTTGCTGGAACCTTTTAGTACAAGAGGTCTGAAAAGTCAGATGAACATAAATCATCTGAAATTAAAACATTGTGAAATCACTAAGCACAATGTAACAGGAAGAATGCAAGACATTTTAACAGCTGAACCCCCACCCCAAGTAAGGCAATAAACCCACTAAGACGCAAGGAGTTACTGAGTGTGAAAGAATATGAGAAAAAAAAAAAAAAAAAAAAAAAAAAGGTGAGAACAATAAAGGAACAAGAATTAAGACAAAAGATAATAATTGACATTGCATTTAAATTTCTAAAGATCAAAGTTGGTTGGGAAGCAAGAACCTGAAAGAGAGTTCTACATGCAAGAAGCACAACTGAAAAAACTATTAGCATAGAACTTATGATTACATCTGGTCATTTCAACAGTAAAATGACGTTTGTTCCAATCTTGTCAGAATAGTTGCTAAGAACATCCCCCTCCCAAAATTTGTAAACAAATCCTACAGATGCATGCTGGGATTTCTTTCTAATCAATAAAAATGGACAATTCTGACTCATCTGCCATATTTTTCATTCTTTCTGACTGCATCCCTTTTATGTGTTAACACCATTCTTACTTTTTTGCCTCATTATTGTTGCTTTGCCTAGTTTTGACTTGCATATATAATGTTTGCTTCGTATTATTTGGCCCTGTTCTTTTTTGTTTGAGAACTTTGTCAATTCCATTTGTATATTCCCAAACACTTAACCATGGCTAATTGTGGGAATTTTGGGGTAGCTAGTACTAGTGAGCCAGCCAAAATGAGCTGACTCATTTTATAGTTCACCAAGAGAAGGGTTAACCAATCAGAAAGCTCAAAATATTCAATGTGACGTGTATAAAGGCAGCCATGTTTTTTTCTGAATATTCACTGACAGCCAGCCTTTGATATCGAAGACTGAAGAATTACAGCAGTGGTATTGGCGATATAGTCAGATTCAGTAGAGTGTCTGACTCATGAGTATTAATCTTTTACGTTGTTTCATTGAATAGATTACGTACTGCGCTGTATTCTATATTCATAGACTATGGTGAACATAGTTAACACTAATTACTTCACATGAGGAAATAATGCCGTCAATCTAGTATTGCAATTAAAGTCATGGTACCAATGTGGAAAGCTCCTCAGAACATTGTTAAATGCAAAATAAGAACTCTCCAAAAAACAGAACTGACAAAGTTTGCAATCAGCAATAAGAAAAAGAAAAGAACTGGGCAAAAACTACTACAAAGCAAGCAAACAATATATGCAAGGCAAATCAAAAGTAATAAGGCAAAAAGTTCACAAACTAAGAATTGGGGTTGACCTACAAGAGCAAGTTCGAACAAACATAGCATTCTGACTTCAAAACAAGACAGACCATGACTGAGTCAGATGAAACCAAGAACTGGTCTATTTTATTGGCTAGGAATAAATCCCAGCATGCATTTGTGTGTTTCTGTCTATAAATTGGAGAGGGACAAATGTTTTGCTGTCATTCCTCAGTAGTTTGGAATTAACAGGGTTGAATTTTAAAATGCACTACTGACCAAAAATTTAAGACCACTTGAAAAATTTTTATAAGAGACTGTTTGTCATGGATATATTATAAACGTTTTCTTACTTAAGGTTACTAGTTCTATAATCTAAAAGGTTATGTAGACAAAAAGTTATAATCTGATCAATTTATTCAGAAATGGACATTTTTATAAAATGAAACGTTTTACACTTGATCAAAATTATAAGACCAGGGGGTGGAAATTGTTAGATCTAGAGTAATTCCAATGTTTTTAGTTCAGCTAGAGATTAGCAATCACTGCATAAAAGTGTAACCATGCCTAAAGCAAACAAACTTACCAAAGTTGAGCGTGCTTGAATTCTAGAGTTCCATAATCAAGGTTTGTCACAGCAGGCAATCGCAGTAAAACTGATTTGCAACTTTCTAAAGGACAGTGCAAATTATGGAAACGCAAAGTCTACTGGTAGGCCCCCAAAAATTTCTCCGGCATCAAGTAAGAGAATAAGATGGGTTGTTGTGAAAGCCAGTGGACTTTCTTCTGGTCAAATTAAGGTAGCCACAGATGCTGATTGCAGTCCAGTAACCATCAGACAACACTTACTACAAAAAGGCATGGTAAATAAAAAGCACAAATAAATTCCTCGGCTGCTTCCATATCACTAAGTGAACCGTTTACGGTTTGGTTGTGAATACCAAACATGGGACATTGAGAAATGGAAGAAAATCCTGTATTCTTATTCAATCTAGATGGTCCTGATGGCTTCCAACGATACTGGCATAACAAAAACATGCCTCCACACGTCATAGTGGTGAAGGGTCCCTAATGGTATGGGGTGCCTTTTCTTACAGAGGGACGATGGAGCTCCAGGTGGTGCAGGGTCGTCAGACAGCAGCTGGTTATGTTAGCATGCTACAAAAAGCATCGTTGGTGATGGAGGGTCATCGTTTGTGTGGGGATGGATGGATGGTTATTCCAACAGGATAATGCTGCACTCCACGCTGCATGCCGGACCTTGACCTTTCTACAAGAAAATGGGGTCCATCTCTTGAGACATCCTGCATGCTCACCAGACTTGAACCCAATTGAAAATGTTTGGGGATGGATGGCAAGAGATGTTTATCGAAATGGTAAACAATATTCAACAAAAAATGAACTTTGTGAAGCTATCTTCAGAAGTTGGAGCAATATTCCTCACAGCTTATTGGAAACACTAAATTCTAGCATGCCCCAAAGAATTTTTAAAGTCAACAAAACCAGTGGAGGTAGAACTCATTATTAAATTTGGTTTTTGAATGTTTTCGTACACTTTTCATACAATTTCATATAATTTTTGTCTCTGGTCTTATAATTTTGATCAAGTGTAAAATGCCTCATTTTATAAAAATGTCAATTTCTCAATAAAATGTTCAGATTATAAACTTTTTGTCTACATAACCTTTTAGATTATAAAATTAGTAACCTTAAGTAAGAAATGTTTAAAATTTTCCCATGAAAAACAGTCATTTAAAAAAAAATTTTCAAGTGGACTTAAATTTTTGATCAGGAGTGTATCTCAAATGCTTGTAGAGTTATTTAAGATCAAAATTAATCTTCTTTTTTTTTTTTTTTTTTTTAAATTGGGTCTATAAGCATTTACTTGGGTCAAGGACAGGTAAATACTGATTGTTTACATATGAGCCTATAAACATTTACTATGTTTTAGGAATAGGTAAATATTAGTCATTTATAATTGATTCTATAAGCATTTAGTTTGTTCGAGGATAGGCAAATATTGGTAATTTATATTTGGGTCAATAAACATTGACTTCATTTGGGGATAGATATATACTGCTTATATTAGAGTCTATAAACATTTACTTCATTTGGAGATAGATATTAGTCATTTATATTAGAGTCTATAAACATTTACTATGTTTTGGAATAAGTAAATATTAGTCATTTATATTTAAGTCTATAAACATTTACTTCTCTGTAAGCATTTCTTTGGTACATTGTCCTTTTCTTACTCTACTCGACTCTAGGAGGTGCAGTTAAATTCTAGGCCCTCTTGACAGAGGGAAAATGTAGGAGAATTTAAAATGAAAAACCATGAATATCCTATTTCCTTCATTACTCAATTTTTTTTTTTGCAAGTGGGGGGAGGTGTCTCCAATATTTTTTACCTGGTCTTTCAGGGAGCAGAAAAAAATAAATGTATTTATACATTTTAGTTTTTAAAAAAATAATTTAAAACTGCAAAATATTAATTGTAATTATTATTTTTTTTTTTTTTTTACTCTGTAAATTAAGGAAAGTTTGCCCTTTCTATCTGTAATTATGTGATTGGAATAAGCACACAAAAACAGGAAGTTGTGTGATTTTATCTCTGGACTGTCATGTTTTCTTGCCAGCAATTTGGTCTGTGAGAGGTCTGCAAAACAGCCACCCACTTGACCAAATGGGAATAAACTTTTGATGTGACAAAGATTTCTGGTCATAGTTCTATATTAACGGTCATGTTTTTTCCTTTTTTTTTTTTTTTAAAGCATTTCACCCTGAGCAAGGGAGAAGTACCACTAGCACACAAGGTGCTACAGAGTGTGTAAGTAAGAGAAAAGACTAGGTATAGGTGGGAGGTTAAGGAAAGGATAAAAAGAGGAATGGAGGAGGATAAAAAGATGAACGGAGATCAAGGCAATATTCGGGATCGAGAATTTCTGGACCACCCAAAAATGGGGACAGACTCTCACAGGATAGCTCTGAAGCTACGTGTTAGAGCTGCCAGCCACGTACTGTGATACTGAGATTGGCGGAAGAGTTGAGGAGAAAAGCTGATCTGTTAGTTGAAGATATCAGAAATTGTTCCCAAGTGTCACCTACCTACCTACCAACTCAGAGTGTGCAGAGAAAACCCTGAAATATGAAATATGATGAAAATTGTTTTTGAGTGTTTGAAAAGTTTATGCAGTCATATTTATTTCCATCTTTTATGCGAGTGTGCAACGGGCTTTTCCAAGCTTTTATGCATACTGACACAATGTGGGGGAGGCATTGTCCGGTCAGCAGAAAAACTGTCTGAGGGTTCTGGTGTGTGTTTACATATCTCCAAGATGTACATTTGGCAGCTGTCGATATCAATTAAGTTATCTGTCATTACCTCATTGTCATTCTTTAAAACTAAACGTAAAATTGGTGGGAGGCAGGGGGGATTTCTCAGGGTAGGGTAGATAGGTGACATGTAAGTCCCGTTGCCTTTTCTTACTTCTGCTGAGTGACTGCGACTGACAAGACTGATCAAATTAACAGCTCTTCTCGCTCTCTCACCCTAATCTGAACTTTACTTAAATAAACCTACAGACGGAAAATTCTAACTTCCAACTAGATGTCACTTGACCCCACAAATTTTCATTTATTTAATATCTTATTCAATTTCAGTCAAGCAGGTTGGTACTTTGAACACCAGACTTCAAAGACTATTTCCTGGGCATATATAAAAACAGAACCAAACACTTCAGACTGCAGTAACATCTTTTAGGATTGACGTCTTATTTCATGTGTTTGTGGATGCGCAGATATTGTAATGAATACGAGCTCAGGTTAAGAAATTAGCGAGCAGGGTTCAAATTTCAGTCAAGTTTGTTACATTCACTAACATGTAAATACCCTTGGGAAAGTTATGAATCCATCACTTTTAACCCAACTATGGATTAAATATTAGGACTTTTATCTGGAATAATCATTATCTCCAAAAAGATGTTAATGCAATAATCATTCACAAAAAAGAATTATTCTTACAATACTCGAAAATATGTTTCAGCTTTAAATAACCAACAAAGATACAATGTGTGTAGTGCTAGATCACGTGCTAAAATAGTGAATATAAATAAAAACTAGGGAGAACTTTCAGTTTTATTTTCTACCCCCACCTCCACCGATTATATATTTATAATCATTTCACCGAAAACAAACCAATAAAGTCACTAAGACATAAGAGGTTACCGATTGTTAGATAATACGAGGAAAAAATAAAACACTATTAAGGAGAGAGGACAATAAAAGAACAAGAATTAAGACAGAAGATAATGATTGACATTGCATTTAAATTTTTGAAGCTCAAAGTTGACAGAATTGATAGCAGAGAACTCAGTTATATCTGGCCATTTCAGCTGTAAAAAGATGATACCTTGCCGCCAATCCAGTACCATGCTTAAATTCATGAAGTCTACATACCATAGAGGAAAGTTCATCCAAACAATTAGCATAAAAGTATTTATGAAAAAGACACAAGGAAGCTATGCTATGGCAGTGCGAAAGTAACTGAAAGCAGAAATGCCAGGTCATATAGAAACTTAAAGTAAATAGTGATTTAAAGACACAAAAAGCGAGGAGGGTTGATTGATTCGTCTTCTACAGGTTATCAACCCATTTCATATTATTTAAAGCTAGAAAAAATATTTTTTTAAATTTTAAGAATTTTTGAGATAATAGTCGAGTGACACAAGTTTTACTAATTAACCCATAGCTTGGAGGAGAAGAGGTGGATTCATATGTTTCCCAAGGAAATAAGTGAAGATAATGAACCCAATGGGAACTGGAATTCAGCTATCTGATCCAAAATTCTGAGCCATTATCTATTACACCACCCACACATCCAAACTTGGTATTCCTAAATGGTCACCTATTTGGGTACTGAGCAGGTTTGATGTTGCTTAACTTTGGTGATTCTACAAGAACTGGTGTTTCAGCATGATGTGACTGTAAGAAAGCAATGACAATTTCTTTATGTAGAAGATCAGCAGTTTAAAACTTTTCAAATTTATATGAACAGATTTTTAATTACTCACGGGATTCTTGGACCTTTCCAGTCCACAACGATAGAACCCAGCTCAGATCCACAGGAGAAAGCATCATGGGTGATGACTTGCCTTGGAATTCTTTCTGGTGGGGATCAGAGAAAAAAAAAAAAAAAATCATAAATTTAATGTGGCCTGAACTCAAGATAACATTTTTCCATATATGCAATCCGACTAATGAAACTTTGTACAGATTCAATGTCCAAGATAATCTTCCAATTTCCATGGCAAGGTTTTGCTTGTTGTTTAATTTTGTTTAGCAGCTTATCAATATTTATGCATAAAAATCTAATGTCAAAATCTAAATATTTTGAATGCAATTGGATGCCTCCAACTACAAACATGCATTGTCGGTCATCCTACCGACCATAAACATGCATTGTCGGTCATCCTACCGACCATAAACATGCATTGTCGGTCATCCTACCGACCATAAACATGCATTGTCGGTCATCCTACCAACCATAAACATGTCTCATCGGTTATTCCACTAGCTAAATAGCAAGAACTTCTCTCCAAAATATGTTATCTTTCATCTGTGAGGAATTCAGCTTAAGAGAAGGATATAGGTTTGTTTTCTCTGTTAATATTATCGCTGTTAAATGGCACTAACAGCGTTCGATAGGACATTTGTTATTAAAGGTGACACAGAGTTTTCGTCATCACTGAAGTAATTTAGTTTTACAAAGTTCACTAAATCTTTCTTTGTTTCATGAAAAAGTCTAAAGCAGGATCTTAAATTAAAACTTTTGTATTCTTTTTCTGTGTACTTTTTAATATGTCAGTCACTGAGGAAAACTTTGATGAACAGTGTAGCAAAAAATCTCCGATAGTAATTTATCATGCCAATAAACCTTCAAAGTGGACGAGTTGTCTGGTTGTGGGAAATTTTTATAACATCTATCTTCTCAAGTAGTGGTGAAATTTCTGTTTTGTCTATTGTGTGTCCTAAAAATGAATGTTGTTTTTTCTTTGTTTTTTTTTCTTTTTGACACCAAACATGCATTTACAGAAATTAATTTTCAGTCCAAAGTGCTGCAGGCATTTAAAACCAAGTTGGAGATGTGCCATTCATATCTCCACTTGCTATTAATACATCATCGATCTAAGTGAAAGTCTTAATATTTCATCTATCAACCTTTGAAAAGACAGGGATGCATTTCTTAAATGAAACAGCATTCCAATGAATTCAATTAAACTGAAAGGGGTGGGTATAGCCGTCTCTGTTATATCATTTTCGTCAACGGAGATTTGGTAGCACACCTTGATTAAGACAAATCTGGTGAA